TTTACTCAAGAGACATGTTAACAAGCTTTGATAAAGACACAGGGAGTTTTCACTTACTCTGCTGAAGGGATTTTTACCAACGGATTCGGTACCTTTGTGGGTGGAACCAACCAGATGGGGTTGACGACGACCAGCTCATAGTATTTTTGGCACGGGTCATCGTGGAAGGTCACTGAGCTTCTAAACCATTCTATTTAGAGAAACAGAAAAAACACTGAGTCTTTTTTTTTAAGGTTTCATTTCATTCCCAAGAAAATTTTCTCTTCCTCCACCAAACAATCGGTTTTAAGTTATTTTACAAATACTAGTGCTGATTTGTTAGATGGTTTATTTCATGTCCTAAATCAAACATTTTAAAACTCTACCCAAATTATTCAAGTCTCATGCAGGTAAAATATTTTATGTTTTCTAAAAGGTAGTTAAATAAAACGAGTCTACATGCATAAATTAATACAAGTAATGCTGGGAAAATTTGGGTAAGATTGGTAAATTACTGGATCAAAACAACGAGTAATTCTGCAGTCTTTCACTTTTAAAATTCCAACTGTGTAATGACTCCTCCTGGCATTTCACCATTTTCCCATAATTACTTTCATTTTCTCTCATTCCTAGAAATTCGAATCAGAATAAGGCCAAGCAAATGGACACCTTACCCCAGAGACTTCCCGCCCAGTCTATCTTCTCGGCACAGGCGTTGTTTAACGGTGCCATCTTGGCCACTTCCGCCTGATGCTGGGCGAACGCGAGCTGACAACACAGAGGGGGCCGTGAGGCTCTTGCCAAGGCCGGCTACGCCCCCACCCCCAGCCACCAGGAGCGAGCTCAGCGAGCCATCACCACTCATCCGAGATGTGCTTTAAAATGAAGAACAAGACAAATAGAGAGAGATGCCTGCTACCCTATGGTTCTTGGGGGGCGGTGGAATGAAAGACCAACATCAGCAGCGGCCTTCTCTGTGGGTGACTGGGGGAAGGATTGCTTGGGGTACTGAGGGGTGGTGGAGGAGACGGACTGGCACAGGGGCCATGCTACAAAATAGGGGAGGGCCCACTATCATGATCCAAATTCTACCATGCAAGTCCAGCTAGACCAGAGGATGTATGTACACTGGTACAGATAGGAACTGGAAACACAGAGAATCCAGGGCAGATGATCCCTTCAGGACCAGTGCTGAGAGTGGCAATACTGGGAGGGTAGAG